TAAGTGCATGGACTCTAACCTGGGGGAACCGGGTTTGGTTCCCCACTCCTTCACTTGCACCTGGCTGGATGGCCTTGGGCAAGCCGTAGTTCTGATAAGAGCTGTCCTTGAAAAAGAGCCGTTTCTGTCAAGAGCTCTCTCAGCCCCACCTCCTTCCCAGGGTGTCTATTGTGGGGAGGGGAAGGGAGAGGAGTTTGTCAGCCGCTCTGAGACACCTTTGGGTAGTGAAGGGTGGGGTATAAAATCTAATCTCCTCCTCCTCCTCCTCCTCCTCTTCTTCTTCTTCCTCAAAAAACACATCCATGTTTCAAAAAGATTGTACCCGTGGGTCCAATTCTATGGGCCCCAGAAGAAGGTGCCCCACCCTCCATTGTTTCCAGAGGAGGGGGGGAAGGCATTTAAAGGGACACGGTCACTTTAAAGGCCTTCTCCAAGCATGACTCCGGTAACGTTTCTCATCATCACTGCCCTTCCCACCAGCCATGTGTCTGAACCTTCATACATACCTGATAGATTCCGGACGTTGATCAGCAACAAGCATTCCAAGGAAGAGAGGGTGCTTCTGGGAATCCGGTTGTCCCAGAGCGGTGATCCTGAGTTGTATGGGGAACCATCACTCCATTCCCAGATTAATGACTGTTGAAGGTAAAAGAGAAAACTCCTATGAAGAAAGAGGGTGGAAGGAATTTCTGCCGAATCTGGAGAATGGACGTTGGGAGAGGGGCAGAATAATGTTCTTATGTCTGGGGCAAGGAATGCTCTGTCTTCTTGGTGCCTGGGGGGGAGGGGCAACAGTGGGAGGGCTTCAAGTGTCCTCCTGGACCCACTGCTGGACCTCCTGATGGCACCTGGTGTTTTTGGCCATTGTGTGACACAGAGTGTTGGACTGGATGGGCCATTGGCCTGAGCCAACATTGGCTTCTCTTACGTTCTCATGTTCTTATGAATTCGATCAACATATGGAACAGATGTTCTCATGTTCTTATGAATTGGATCAACATATGGAACTCTCAGTCTGGGGCAAGGGATGCTCTGTCTTCTTGGTGTTTTGGGGGGGGCAACAGTGGGCGGGCTTCTGGTGTCCTGGCCCCACTGCTGGACCTCCTGAGGACACCTGGTATTTTTGGCCACTGTGTGACACAGCGTGTTGGACTGGATGGGCCACTGGCCTGATCCAACTTGGGCTTCTCTTATGTTCTCATGTCTGGGGCAAGTGATGCTCTGCATTCTTGGTGCCTGGGGGGGGCAACAGTGGGAGGGCTTCTAGTGTCCTGGCCCCACTGCTGGACCTCTTGAGGACACCTGTTACTTTTGGCCACTGTGTGACACAGAGTGTTGGACTGGATGGGCCATTGGCCTGATCCAACTTGGGCTTCTCTTATGTCCTTAATGATATGTGAGACAATCAAGCCCAGGGCGTAGGGGGATATCCTGCCCACTGCTCTGTCTGGGTTGAGCCTTTCAGGGCTCTCGGTTCTGTCTGATAACACAGAGAGGGCCAGTGCTCTTAGATCCCCCCAAGGATACAAGGTGTTCATCTGCAAACTCTCCAGGGGAAATTGCCATGGAATGCCCTGGCTGCAATTGGCAATATGGGGGGATGCACCCAAATTATGAGGCTGACCCTGCCCATCAGCCTTTGTGGAAGAGAGACCCAGCCCCACAGCCCCCCTCCAACTATAACACAACGTCCAGAATGCCGCATCCTTCTCCCAAACTGCACCGTGCTTTTAAATGTTGTTCATTCATTTCCTCCATTTACACCTTGCCTTCCTCCCTGACAGGGAACCAAAGCAGGTTACACCAGGGGTGTCGAACTCATTTGTTACGAGGGCCAGCTCTGACATAAATGAGACCTTGTCGAGCCGGGCCATGCATGTCATAATATGTAATGCCAGGTAGTGGAGATAGAAACTTTATAAAGGTCACAAACACAAAGGGGATATTTTAGCTTAAAATAAAAACATGCTTAAAACATGAGCTCTGTAAGCTGCAAACTTATTTTGGATTTATTGACCTTCACCAATGCTCTCTCTAAGCTGTGGAGTCTTGTGAGCAAAAATTCTGCTTTGTGAGCTACAGGCATTGAAGTTGTGAGCCAGCAATTTGGCTGCTGCATAAACTAGTTGGCTCTGGAGCCCTCCTTCCTGAGCTAAGACAAAAATCTGTGAGCCGGAGGCTAAAAAACTATCAACTAGCTCACACTAACTCAGCTTAGAGGGAACACTGACCTTCACCACAGGAATCTCATGCTCAGAGTTCTGAGTCCGGGACCCAGGTTAAAACATGAAATGGCCGAGTGATTAAGAGAGTCTGGCGAAGCCAGCTAGGATGCAAGCAGCAGCAGAACTGGAAGCAGGAGATGGCCCACTGCAGGCCGCATGTTTGACACCCCTGGGTTACATGGTTCTCCTCCATTGTATCTTCAAAACAACCCTGTGAGGTGGATTACACCAAGAGTGGAAGGACCAGTGTAGCTGATCAAGGCTGGAGACCAGTGTTCCCTCTAAGCTGAGTGAGTGTGAGCTAGCTCATAGTCTTTTAGCTTCCGGCTCACACATTTCTGTCTCGGCTCAGGAATGATGGCACCAGAGCAAACTGATTTATGCAGCAACCAACGCACTCGCTCACAGCTTTAATGCCAGGAGCTCACAAAGTAGAATTTTTGCTCACAAGACTCCACAGCTTAGAGGGAAGATTGCCGGAGACCAACACCAGTCCAGCACCTGTTTCCATTTGTAATACACGTGTCCAAAACTAAGTTCTGAAAAGGAATAGAGAGAGTTTGGAGGGAGTTACCCACATTGTAGTCCCGTGCAGCGTTAAAACCAGTCCAGACATAGTTTGTTGTAGAGTCACGGCTATTGATGAAAGTAGAAACCATTTTTTCCTCATTTAGACTGGAAAAGGAAACCAGGTGGCCGCCGGGTCTCAGCTTCTGACACCGAAACTGCCAGGAGAGAGCAAAACATTGATTGTGAAGTGATGGTTGGCCATCATACGATGCCTGACAACATCCCCGACTACTCTGCTTTTTGAGGACTTCAAGTTACCCTTGTATGTGACATTTCAGCCTTTCTGAAAATACAGAAGGTGGAGTTTTCGGATGGTCACCTCGTCCATCTCCGAAGCAGCGAATCTCGCTTGCTGAAATAGTTTCTGCCACGGGGAGTCACCACATCCTAGCACCTTGCTCTGAGGAGCTCTGAGGACAATCTCGTGAGCATTTAGCTTACAAGAGGACGTAGAAGCAACTAGGAGGACAGGGTGCCTGAAATGATGCTCAAAAGTCTGCTTGTTCCTGAAAACATTCAGTTAGGACTCCTTAAAGCAGCGGTTCTCAACCTGTGGGTCGCAACCCCTTTGGGAGTCGAACGACCCTTTCACAGGGGTCGCCTAAGATCATCGGAAAACACAAATGTTCAATGGTCTTATGATAGCAACGGAAATAATTTTACGGTTGGGGGTCACTCACCACAACATGAGGAACTGTATTAAAGGGTCGTGGCATTAGGAAGGTTGAGAACCACTGCCTCCACCGCCGGGCCCCTGATGTCAGGGGGTGTGGCATATGCTAATGAGTTATGCTAATGAGTTCCCCTAGCTCTTTTTCTACGAAATGACCCCTGTCATAATACGACGCCTGACAACATCCCTGACGACTCTGCTTTTTGAGGACTTCAAGTTACCCTTGTATGTGACATTCCAGCCTTTCTGAAAATACAGAAGGTGGAGTTTTCGGAGGTCACCTCGTCTGTCTCCGAAGCAGCTAATCTCGCTTGCTGAAATAGTTTCTGCCAGTGGGACTCACCACACCCTAGCACCTTGCTCTGAGGAGCTCTGTGGACAATCTCATGAACATTTAGCTGAAAAGAGGACGTAGAAGCAACTAGGAGGACAGGGTGCCTGAAATGATGCTCAAAAGTCTGCTTGTTCTTGAAAACATTCAGTTAGGACTCCTTAAAGCAGCGGTTCTCAACCTGTGGGTCGCAACCCCTTTGGGAGTCGAACGACCCTTTCACAGGGGTCGCCTAAGATCATCGGAAAACACAAATGTTCAATGGTCTTATGATAGCAACGGAAATAATTTTACGGTTGGGGGTCACTCACCACAACATGAGGAACTGTATTAAAGGGTCGTGGCATTAGGAAGGTTGAGAACCACTGCCTTAAAACCTATGTTGTGGTGGTGGTGGTTCAGTCGCACAGTCGAGTCCGACTCTTCGCGACCCCACAGACCACCTCACGCCAGGCCCTCCTGTCTTCCGCCATGCTCCGGAGTTTGCTTAATTCCATGTCCATACATGATATCCGTACAATAAAACCTATGTGCTTTTACAGTTACAAAGAGCACAAAAAGGACGCAGTGCTTCAGATCCTGTTTTTTTGTCCTGTAGGAGAATAATCCTATGAATGGATGCTCTCCCTTTTCTGGTGGACTAAAGGCTGCGGTGGCGCAAGTGGTTAAGACGCTGAACTGCAGGCTGTGGAAGGTCAGTAGTTCAGCAGTTCGAGACCCGAGTGTGCCGCATGACGGAGTGAGCTCCCGTCTCTAGTTCCAGCTCCTCTTCCAACTATAACGCACCGTTCAGAGTGCCGCTTCCTCCTCCCAAACTGCACCGTGCTTTTAGACGTCTTTCGTTCATTTCCTCCATTTACACCCTGCCTTCCTCCCCGACGGTAACCCAAAGCAGCTCACATGGTTCTCCTCCATTTTATCTTCAAAACAACCCTGCAAGGCGGGTCAGGCCGAGAGAGGAAGGACCAGTGTGGCTAATCGAGGCCGAAGAGACCACGCCAGTCCAGCACCTGTTTTCATTCATAATACATGTGTGTCCAAAATCTAAGTTCAGAAAAGGAATGGAGAGAGTTTGAAGGGAGTTACCCACATTGTAGTCCCGTGCAGCACTAAGGCCAGTCCAGACATTGTTTGTTCGAGAGTTACGGCTTCTGATGTAAGTCGAAACCACTTTTTCCTCAACTGAGTTGGAAAAGGAAACCAGATGGCTGTCGGGCCTCAACTTCTGACACTCGAACTGCCAGGAGAGAGCAAAACATCGACTGTGAAGTCATGGTTGGCCATAGTCAGATGACTGACAACATCCCTGACTACTCTGCTTCTTTCAGGAGTTTTCGGAGGTCTTGTCTGTGTCTGAAGCAACTAATCTTACTTGCTGAAATAGGAGAATAATACTATAAATGGAGTCTCTCCCTTTTCAGGTGGACTAAAGCCTGGCACCCAAGGTAACCGGATAGGTTGAGGAACTGTGTCTACCTCAGTAAAGGTAAAGGTTTCCCTTGCTCGAAAGCCGGTCGAATCCGACTCTAGGGATGCGGTGCTCATCTCCATTTCCAAGCCGAAGAGCCAGCGCTGTCCGAAGACGTTTCCATGATCATGTGGCCAGCATGACTAAATGCCAAGGTTCACCCTTTTGCAATATACTCCAAGCGTTTATCTACTACGTTTCTACAACTGTGCAATTTTTCTTTCGTAACTGAAACATGCCCCCAATAGCTCAAACATGAGGAATGAATCCAAAGAGGAAGTGTGCTTGGCTCTGATTAATATGTCAGGTAGCGAGCTAGCAATGTGCGCACACGCAGAGGGCCACGGGCAAGCTGGCAGTGTGCAGAACGGGGCAAAAAGAGAAATCTTTGGGATGAAGAGAAGACAGGCCTTTGTTGCCTGCATTGAAGCTTTGTCAAAGCTCAGACGGGAACAGCCCTGGTGTGTTGGCTGTGCCAGGCTGGGGCTGCTTCTTGGGACTCTTCTAGAGGTCCTGAATATTCCCTGATGAGCTCACCTTTGGCTTATGGGCTTAGGTCCAAACATGGTGAGTGCCTCGTCCCGGCCTCCCATCCCTTTTACCAGCCCACCTCCATGTCTTGCCAAAAGATTCGGTAAAATCTGGCTGACCATTCTGGACCAGGTGCCAGCCCAAATGGTATGGGTTGATGCCAACAAAATGGAGGTATGTCAGTCCTGCCAACAGCATGCTGGGAGACTGAAATACAACTTGGCCAGCGTGTAACACACATTTGTGGCTTCAGGGAACTCGTCTTCTCAGCTCTACTGAGAGCTGCCCCCATGCAGAACCAGAAAAGCCGCTGCCCGCAGACAGGCAGCAGTGCCTCCAGACCTTCAGTGGGCAAAGGGAGGTGGAGCCATGGCTCTGGTAGAGCATCTGATTGGCAAGCAGAAGGCCCCAGGTTCAATTCCCGGCGTTTCCAATAAGGATCATCTGGTAGGTGAAGGGAAAGACCCGTCGGCCTGAGACCCTGGAGAGCCGCTGCCAGTCTGAGTAGGCAAGACTGACCTCAGTGGACCGAGGGTCTGATTCAGTAGATGGCAGCTTCAAGTGTGACTGCGGGGACTGGGTTTCTTCCCATGGAGACGGAGAGGTTGTAAGGATGATACACGAGGGAACAAACCTTGCCACAGCCCTGAGCTTCTTGGAGGAGAAAAAGGTCTCCCTTGCTTGAAAGCCAGTCAAATCCGACTCTAGGGTTGCGGTGCTCATCTCCGTTTCCAAGCCAGAGAGCCAGCGCTGTCCAAAGACATTTCCGTGGTCATGTGGCTGGCATGACTAGACGCCGAGGCGCACGGAACGCTGTGACCTTCCCACCGTAGCGGTACCTATTGATCTACTTGCAATGTCTTGCTTTCGAACTGCTAGGTTGGCAGGAGCCGGGGCCAGAGACGGGAGCTCACTCCGTCATGCGGCACACTCGGGTCTCGAACTGCCGAACAACCGACCTTCCGGTCTGCAACTCAGCGTCTTAACCACTGAGCCACCGCAGCGCCTTCTTGGAGTACAGTGGGGTTGAAATGGGAACACTGCTTCACCCAAATTTTCCTTGGGGGGGGGATTGCGGGTTCTACATGTAGCACACCATGGTGACCTTACTCAACAGTCCTGCAAAACTTTTCATTTCATCCAAACTCTTTTTAATTCTTCTGATGCCAAATGAAAAGAAATCATTTCGTGTCCATGTTTATGAAACCAGGCTTTTCAAAATATGGGGTTACACACATCAGCACATGCGCACATTCCCTGCCCGGCCCCCTTCCCCCCCCCCCCCCCCCCAGCAGCACTTACCTCTGCTGAGTACCATGGTTGTGGCTGGGGGAAATACTCATAGCAGTTGCGTCTGAACTGATATGCCCAAGGAGGACAAGAACTCCTGGGGTTCACTTGGTCGTCGTTTGCAACTGGAAAAGACAAAAAGGCTATTAAGGGCTGCATAAGAACGTGAGAGAAGCCAATGTTGGATTAGGCCAATGGCCCATCCCGTCCAACACTCTGTGTCACACAGTGGCCAGAAATACCAGGGGCCATCAGGAGGTCCAGCAGTGGGGCCAAGACACCAGAAGCCCTCCTACTCTTGCCCCCCCCCCGGGACCAAGAACACAGAGCATCCCTTGCCCCATACATAAGGACATAAGAGAAGCCAATGTTGGATCAGGCCAGTGGCCCATCCAGTCCAACACTCTGACACACACACAGTGGCCAGAAATACCAGGGGCCATCAGGAGGTCCACCAGTGGGGCCAGGGCTTCTCCATCCCCAAAACCTCACACCCCGAAACTCTTGTTGGTCCTTAAGATGCTACTAGGCTCTAATCTAGCTCTAAAGGGGGGAAGGCTCATCTTCCAGTTGTCTTCCATTCCGTTCTTGCTCTCAGCAGAGTGCGAGAGGAGACCCACTGAACACGGGAGTAGGTCTGGAGAAACCACCCGGCCTGGTTCAGTGACAGAGAGGAGTGGCCACAAGAGAGATCCAGCAATGTCCCTCTCATTAACTGCCTCTCAAGCTTTGCTCTTCCAGGGAGACAGCAGGAGTCAGGCAGACTCACTTGAATCCATTTAGAAACTGCAGCTCCTTGCCTGGCAAACTGTAAGAAGCTGCTCCTCTACTGACCCGTGTTTTAAAAAGGTCAAGGTTTCCCTTGCTCGAAAGCCAGTCGAATCCGACTCTAGGGATGCGGTGCTCATCTCCGTTTCCAAGCCAAAGAGCCAGCGCTGTCCGAAGATGTTTCTGTGGTCATGTGGCTGGCATGACTAGACACCGAGAACGCTGGGGAAGCGAAGGGATGGAATGCCTCCCCGATTGATCTTCCCTTCCCCAGCCAGTGTTCCCCACCTTGGGTAGGCTTGAGGTGGGGGAGAGCAGAGGAAGGAAAGCGACATTAACTTGAAATGTATTCTCAACCCCTAACCGCCGCCCCCAAGGGCCGGCTTGGAGAAGGCATTTTGTCTCTTTAAATCCTTTTGCCAAGCTGACTGGTGGGGGGGATTGGAGGACTCATTTAAAGTTCAAGTTGCTTTCTTTCCACCTCCCCCCTCCCGACCTAATCGCTTTCTTTGTTTCTCTCTCTTTCTTTCCACCTCTCTCTCTCTCTCAGACAAATAAACATCATTAGCAAACAAATAAATATCATTGGACAACGGAATCTCATTATCAATATCTGCTTTTACCCTTTTTGTTTTTATTTTTGGCAGTCTCATTTAATGTTAATAAAAAGCAAATTTGCGTATTTTCCAATAAAAACATGTCTGTAATATTTGTTCAGGAGCTGCGGTGGCTCAAGTGGTTAAGACGCTGAACTGCAGGCTGTGGAAGGTCGGTAGTTCAGCAGTTCAAGACCCGGGTGCCGCATGACGGAGTGAGCTCCCGTCTCTAGTTCCAGCTCCTGCCAACCTAGCAGTTCGAAAGCAAGAAATTGCAAGTAGATAAATAGTTACCACTTCAGTGGGAAGGTAACAGCGTTCCGTGCGCCTTGGTGTTTAGTCATGCCGGCCACATGACCACGGAAACGTCTTCGGACAGCGCTGGCTCTTCGGCTTTGAAACGGAGATGAGCACCGCAACCCTAGAGTCGGATTCGACTGACTTTCGAGCAAGGGAACCTTTACCTTTACTTAATATTTGTTCACATCATGTGGCTCTCAAAAAACTGACATTTATTTGATGTGGCTCTTACGTTAAGCAAGTTTGGCCACCCCTGGCTTAGAGTTATGCATTCTGAAATTTCTGAGCCAAAACTATACACAAAAATCACTGGTTTGGCTCATTACCATGATTGTCTGGAATGGTAAAACAAATATGGGACTCTTGTGCATACAAAAAGCACCTCCTTAAAAATCTGTGTCGTCCCCCCCCCCATGTTCAGATGTTTACCGTTAGCAGCAGCAGCAGCAGGGCTCTTGTTTTCCTTTGATTCTTCTGATTTCCCAGACGGCAGCATTTCTCCCATCACATGAGGTTCTTGCGAGGGAAAAGAGAGTGAGTGCTTACAGCCAATCACCTCTGGAGACAAAAAGGACCCTGTGACGACCCCTTCTCTGGGGAGGTCTGGTTTTACTTTAAACGTGTTATTTATGTTTTGTTCTACTGGGTAATCCAGCTGCCACCAGGAAATTTTAAGGCTTTCCAAACCTTTATAATATATATTTCTATCACTGGGTAGGTAAATCGAGGGTTTAAGGCATTCATGAGGGTCTACGTGTTTCCTGAGGGATTATTTCTTTCAGAACTGGCAGACTTGAATAAAAGTAGATTTATTTATATAATTTGTAAATAATATAGTAGAATGAGGTAACCGGTACTGTGAATATTTTTAACACTTGCTTTATAAGAACATAAGAACATAAGAGACGCCAATGTTGGATCAGGCCAAAGGCCCATCCAGTCCAATACTCTGCGTCACACAGTGGCCAGAAATACCAGTGCCATCAGGAGGTCCACCAGTGGGGCATAAGATCTGCTCTCTTTTCTGACAGGGATCTTTCAAGTAACATTGTAACTCATTAACTCAGGGTCATAAATGTTTCTTGTTTCACCGCAGTCTGTCACTCAGACTGTCATTTAACTTTTGTTTCCTTATACATTCAACGCTTCTTCATACACAGAACTTAATCTCTTCTATCACACACAAGAAGGTCTCTCCTTCAGACCTCAGAACGAACTACTTTTACACAGCACTTCTCTCGTACACAGAACTAACTGATCTTCTGCTTCTCTCACAGAAATCAGAACTAAAACTGCTTAACTGAACATCAACTGTCTTCATCAACTGTCACTCCTGATAGACATACTGCCAAGTTTTTTTATGTTCTTATAAAACGGAAAAATGTCCCTGGTCATTCTAATTGAGTTCAATGAGTTGTATAATTTAATTCAAGGTTCTGCGGTTGGGCAAAATTTTATCTCACTATAATTTTAAGCTTATATAAATAGGCATACCTTGTAATGCTTTTAGAAGTTATTTATTTTCCACAAATTTTATAGGATTTACCCCAATTTTATGCCAATAAAAGGTATTTGTTGTTGTTGTTGTGACATACCTATCATTCACACATCATCACTTCCAAAACCCCTCCCCTTCTCTGTCACTCACCAATCACACCACTTGCTTGTTTGCACTACTCTAGACTATCACACAGTCATGCAACCAAACTTTTAAAGTCACACACACACAGTTAAACATGAAATCATTACAGACCCCCTAAAAAAATCCAGGTCCCCCCTATTTTCAGATGTTTACCCTTAGCAGCAACAGGGATCTTGTTTTCCTTTGATTCTTCTGATTTCCCAGACGGCAGCATATCTCCCATCACATGAGGTTCTTGCAAGGGAAAAGAGAGTGAGTGCTTACAGCCAATCACCTTTGGAGACAAAAAGGACCCCCTAAAAAAATCCAGGTCCCCCCTATTTTCAGATGTTTACCGTTAGCAGCAACAGGGATCTTGTTTTCCTTTGATTCTTCTGATTTCCCAGACGGCAGCATATCTCCCATCACATGAGGTTCTTGCAAGGGAAAAGAGAGTGAGTGCTTACAGCCAATCACCTTTGGAGACAAAAAGGACCCCCTAAAAAAATCCAGGTCCCCCCTATTTTCAGATGTTTACCCTTAGCAGCAACAGGGATCTTGTTTTCCTTTGATTCTTCTGATTTCCCAGACGGCAGCATATCTCCCATCACATGAGGTTCTTGCAAGGGAAAAGAGAGTGAGTGCTTACAGCCAATCACCTTTGGAGACAAAAAGGACCCCCTAAAAAAATCCAGGTCCCCCCTATTTTCAGATGTTTACCCTTAGCAGCAACAGGGATCTTGTTTTCCTTTGATTCTTCTGATTTCCCAGACGGCAGCATTTCTCCTTTTGCATGAGGTCCTTGCAAGGGAAAAGGGAGTGAGTGCTTACAGCCAATCACCTTTGGAGACAATCTCCAGAGACAATCTGCAGAGGAACCTGTGTCCAGGTATAAGTGCTAAGACACCTCCACAGGCAGCTCCAAATTTAAGTGAATCACTTCCCACTGGGAGTTCTTTAGGATCAAGAAGAACCCACTCCTCCGCCCACACCATCTTCTTTGGCTTTTTTAGAGCAACTTTCTTAGAGCCGTCATTTGACTCTGATTAAGGCGGTGAATCAGGAGTAAGCTTGTAAATGAACACAGACATGCAGCTGAGCCCTTGGACGCCCACACCCCAGCCTCTTAAATCCTTCTCCAGGAACTCCTTAAATAATAGTACTAATTACTAAGTGAGGTACGTATGTCAAGGATGTATACACTTGTGAAGAAATATATGAATCTGAGCATGGATGGTCAGTTGAGAATCTCCAGGAAAAAACAAAAGAAGAAATGATACTAATATTATGGTGGGGGGTCTACGATAGACCACCAAGCCAGGCAGAGAACGTGGATGAGACACTCCTAGAACAGATTACAAAGTTCTCAAAGAGATGGGACATGGTGGTCATGGGTGATCTGAGTCATCCTGATATCTGTTGGAAGTCAAACTTTGCTAAAAGTGAAAGGTCTAATAAATTCCAGACTTCTCTTGCTGATATTTTCCAGAAGGTCGGACCAGAACCAATGGGTTCAGATTAAATCAAAAGAGTTTTCGGCGAAACCTTAGAAAGAATTTTCTCACAATTAGAGCACTTCCTCAGTGGAACAGGCTTCCTCGGGAGGTGGTGGGCTCTCCTTTGGAGGTTTTGAAGCAGAGGCTCGATGGCCCTCTGACAGCAATGCAGATTCTGTGGACTTGGGCAGGTCATGAAAGAGAGGGCAGGAAGGGTTGCCTCAGGGCTTAGTTCTTGTGGCCCTTTCTTACACGCCCAAGGAAATGCTGATCGCCACTTTGGGGTCAGGAAGCAATTTTTCTCCAGGCCAGGTTGGCTGGAGATCCTGGAGGTGTTTTGTCATCTTCTGGGCATGGAACAGGGGTCACTGGAGGTGTGAGAGGGAGGTATTTGTGAATTTCCTGCATTGTGCAGGGGGTTGGACTAGATGACCCTGGACTCTATGATCTTATGGATCTATGATTTTATTATGTATACACCAATTTGATTGGCAGTCCCAACACTCACCTTCCACTGGGGTGCTACTAGATCCTAAGATGAGGCATCCCAGGAGGCAGAGGCCCAGGTAGACAACCTTTCCCATCTTCTCGTTCTCCTGGCAAGGAATACGCCATGTTAGCAACATCCGAGCATGCCCCCCCGTTCCTTACTGTTTATCATTTGAGAGGTCGCGTGGAGCCCCCTGGTTCTGCAGATCCCGCGCTGTCTTGCCCAAAGCCCTTCATGGCCTTGGCCCCTCTTCGTTGTGGGACCGCCTTTCCCCCTCTGCTTCGCCACAACCAACTCCACTCAAGTCAGCAGAGGCTTCTGCAGGTACCAACTTGCAAATGAGCGAAACCAACTACTGCCCATACACGTGCCTTAGAACATAAGAGAAGCCAGTGTTGGATCAATGTCGGCTCTAATCTGGGAGAACCGGGTTTGATTCCCCCACTCCTCCACTTGCAGCAACTGGATGACCTTGGGCAAGCCATAGTCCTGTCAGAGCTGTTCTCAAGGACAGTTCCTGTCAGAGCTCTCTCAGCCCCACCTACCTCGCAGGGTGTCTGTCGTGGGGAGGGGAAGGGAAAGGAGCTTGTAAGCCACTCCGAGACTCCTTTGGGTAGTGAAGGGCCATGGGGTATAAATCCCATCACTTCTCTTCTTCTTCATGCCCCCAAGGAGGACAAGGAGTTGTTTTATAAACATCTTGTGGACAGAACTGTGTTTTTGTCTTGTGGCAGTTGGTGTTTGATGGGTGATTGGAATGAAGCTATTCTTCCACATATGGACAGGGGAAAATCTAAAATTAACCAAGGTAAACTGTCCAAGCCCTTTTTTTCCTTATTTGATGGACAATTTGGGATTAGTTGACATATGGAGGCAGAAAAATGGTAATTCTAAAGAATTTACTTACTTTTTAGAGAGACATAGATCCTTTGCTAGACGTGATATGATTTTGGTATCTAAAGATTTAGCCATTAAAGTTATAAAACTGGAGATTTTATCAGAGTCTTTCTCAGATCATAATCCTGTAAATATGACTTATAAAGGAATGCCCACTACTTTTAGATGGAGATTAAATAAGGCAATTGTGATAGGCTGTTTTAAAAAGTTAGAATTTTTTCCACTTAACCTAAATAAAGGCACTGACTTCAGAATGGTTTGGGAGTGCAAGTAAATTCATTATGAGAGGATGCCTGATACCAGCGCAATGTAGAACTGAAGAGAAAGAGACAAGAAAAGATCCAAAATATCTAGTAGGGGATTAAAAGCAGACAAATTGAAAAAGTTCCCGAACAATGCAAAAATTTTGCACCAAATAAAATTTTTACAACAGTAGTTATCTATGGTAACAATAAGAGAGATGGAAATAAAGCTGAATTATGTAAAACAAAGAAACTTTCAATTGGCAAATAAACCGGGGAGATGGTTGGCCTATAGGGGACAAATCCATGCTGACTTCTCCAAATTACCAAGTTGTCCTTTAGATGCTCGCCTCTTTAAAATCTGCCCCAGTACCTTCCCTGGTCAGACTGACCGGCCTGTAGTTTCCTGGGTCATCCCTCCTCCCTTTTTTGAAAATTGGGGTAACATCTGCCCTCCTCTAGTCTTGTGGCTCATCTCCTGTCTTCCAAGAGGTCAGGAAGATGATGGACAAAGGCCATCTCTCTAGAATGTTCTTTGCGCACTCTTGGCTGCATACCATCTGGCCATGGGGATTTGTACTCATTCAGTGCAGCCAGTTGCTTCTCAGCTAACTCTCTGTCCATGTCAACCAGCAGCCCAGATGCTGTGACTTGCCTGCTACCATCATAGAATGATAGAATGTTAGAGTGGGAAGGGACCTTGCAGGTCATCTAGTCCAACCCCCTGCACTCTGCAGGAGTATACTGAAAGATAGCCCGACATACCTATCGCTAGATGAGCCTGTCCTCTTCTTCAGGGGGGGAAATGAGGCCAAATAGGCATTGAGATTTTCTGCTTTCTCTCTGTACTCTATCAGAGCTTCTCCATTTTCACCCAACAGTGGGCCCATCCCCTCTTTCATCTTGCGTTTGCTCCTCACATATCTGAAGAAGAGTTTCTTGTTGTAGCAAGCCTCCCTGGCTAGCTTTAGCTCACTGTGAGCTTTGGCCTCTCTGATGGCTGACCTACAGTGCCTAGCAACCCGCAGATACTCTTCTTTAGAGGTATGTCCTTGCCTTTTTCTCCCATAGCACATCACACAGTTCTCTGTCCATCCACATTGGCTTCTTGGACTCCCTACCATGTTTCCTTCCTGTTGGAATAGCGACTGCTTGAGCTTGCAAGAGCTCGAGAGCAGTGTTCCCTCTAAGCTGAGTTAGTGTGAGCTAGCTCACAGTTTTTTAGCCTCCGGCTCACACATTTTTGCTTTAGCTCAGGAAGGGACGGCTCCAGAGCAAACTAATTTATGCAGTAGCCAAATTGCCCGCTCACAACTTTAATGCCAGTAGCTCACAAAGTAGGATTTTTGCTCACAAGACTCCACAGCTTAGAGGGAACATTGCAGTCGAGAGCTCACCCTTCACTTGCTCCATTCCCTTCCGGGAACGATTCTCATCATGCTGCTGAGCTTATTAAAGTCTGCCCTACTGAAATCTAACATAGACGTGTGGCTACGAACCTCCTTGGTCCCCCAGAGCAAAAGGAATTCTAGCAGGACATGGCCACTTCCCCCTAAAGTCCCCACCACCTTCACCCCATCTACCATCTCTTTCCTGTTGGTCAATATTAAGTCGAGTATGAGTAGTCAAGATGATGGAACTTGCAGAGAAGGCCAAAGTCACGTCTTTGATAAAAGAAAAGACTTTACTTAAATTTATACCTACACGGAAACCCCTTATGGACTTCTTGCATAAAAGCGGGGGGGGGGGGATGAACTGATGACTTACGGTTTTGAAGACTAAAAGGCAAAGGTGCACCTTCACCCCATCTACCATCTCTTTCCTGTTGGTCAATATTAAGTCGAGTATGAGTAGTCAAGATGATGGAACTTGCAGAGAAGGCCAAAGTCACGTCTTTGATAAAAGAAAAGACTTTACTTAAATTTATACCTACACGGAAACCCCTTATGGACTTCTTGCATAAAAGCGGGGGGTGGGGATTGGGGAGGAACTGATGACTTACGGTTTTGAAGACTAAAAGGCAAAGGTGATAAGCTTACACAGAAAGGTGATATATTTCCCTTGGTCTAACTACAGACTAAGGTGGTAATGAGTAAATGTATGGATTCCTGTGGCACAGAAAATCAGATATGCCTTTTTTCTTGTTCTCGATCATGTTCGTTGATCTGCTGTTTAGTTTCCCCCCCCTGTGTTATTCTGTTTTACTCTGGGTTTTTCCTTCCGTTATTTTTACTTCTTGTATTAAAGAAGAGAAGAAGAGAAGAGATTGGATTTATACCCTGCCCTTCACTACCCAAGGGAGTCTCAGAGCGCCTTACAAACTCCTTTCCCTTTCCCTCCCCATAACAGACACCCTGGGAGGTCGGTGGGGCTGAGAGAGCTCTTGAAGAAGAGAAGAGAAGAGATTGGATTTATACCCCGCCTTTCACTACCCAAAGGTGTCTCAGAGCGGCTTACAAACTCCT